TTACTTACCTTGTAAGATAGGTCCTGCTAGGGTCTTCTTCCCACCCTTATTCAGATGGGAAAAGTGTTGGGCTATGACTCCCAGCCTGCCCAAGCCTCTGATTTGCCTTTCTCAGTAATGGGGCTACAGGGAAAGTGCTGGTGCCACTGGGAGGCTTGGTCTTACCCATACAAAACATGCTGACCCCAGAGATGGGGATGTGACTCCTGATTCCTGGATGCAGCTTTAGAGCGTTGATCTGGGCACATCCCAAGGAGGTAATCACTCATCTGAAGCAAAATTACTAGGTGATTTATAGAAACTTAGAAAACTGACAGCCTGCCGCAACAGTGTCTGTCAGAAAACATGGGTACAAAAAACCTGTTGTATTTTTATTATAAGCAACTGATGAGTTAATTAAAATAATAATATCCCGTTGCTGTGAAAATTTCCCTTGGCTCATCTCATGTCACTGCTGCTGGGAGTGGGTTTTGCAATCAGAAGTCATTTCGCACGTATGTCATTTGTTTTAGAATGCTAGATTTTCAGCAAACCAGCTGAGATTTGTTCGTTTTCTTCATGTGGCAGCAGTGGTGCTTTTTTTTTTTTTTAAAAAAAATATATAGCAAAGCTGAACAAGGCACTGATTTCAAGACCCTCAAAATGTACGAGCACTGTGAAACAGATAGATCTTCAGCATATCAATATTAACATATTTATCAGCCAGAAAAAAAAAAACACCTTGGGCTAGGGGAGATCCGTGTCAGGAGAAGTAGCATGAGTGGCATGTTACAGGAGATGCTGTCTAAACAAACCTGTACGTTGCTGTCATTTTCACATGAAAGAGCTGAATGAATCAGTCTCTGAATGGCTCTGTAACTCTGACAGCCATCACCTAAAAAAAGAGCTTAGTGGAAAATGGACAGGAAGAATTATTTTTTAAAAAATTGGGCCTTATCTACTAAAGTTATGTAAACCAAGGAAGTATTTTGTTCTACCGCAAGAGCTAATGAGAGCATTCCTTAAATACTAACTGAACTGCAGTAAGTTTCAAGTGCCTAGAGATACGCATATTGAGTTTTTACCCCTTCTTTCCCATCTGCCAACTGCTCCGCTGTCATATTTTTTCCCTCCTCCAGCAAAGCACAGAGCCGAGGAAACCACAAATGCTTGATCATTCACTGCCATTAAGCAGCAGAAAAAGATTGATGGGGAGGTTAATAAGTTTACTGTGCAATTATAATGCTCACCATGTACCACCGACGAGGGTTAACGTCGTTATTTCCTGCTCCTCTGATCATTTCGCTGTGTGCTCGTCAGTTCACCTCTGGAGCCAGGCTCCCTGCTCCCTGTGTTGCAGCTGGGCAGTGCGCAGCAACAGGCCACGTGGCTATTAGCCACCTTTGCTGTGCTGTGTATTTGTATAAACTCCTTGACTCCCATTGCGCTAAGGAAAGGCAGCTGAAGTTCTGCTGATGAGAAAAGGATTAGATGAGACTTTTTTTTTTTTTTTTTGCTGCGCTTTTCAGAATGTGCAAACGACTGTGAAATAATCAGGAATAAATTACAGTTGAGGACAGGGAGTGCTGTTTTTTCCTTGTGTGCAAGGGTTATTTTTTTGAGTTGCTTTTTTTCTCAGCACACACTTCTAAATGATATCACACCTAACACGCTGGTCTCAGTAAAGGCAAATTCTTCTGTATCGAGCCTTAATGTGGGCTAAGAGTAGATATTCTGACAGGTATCAGTACCTAACTGTGACTTTTTAGATAGATATTACTAAAATTGGTGAATGGCATAAATTAATCCGCACTGAAATCTTTTCACTGCCCTGCAGACAAGCACTCTTGCCACAGACAAGGTCTTTGCTAGAATGCAGGAGCGATGGTTGCAAATAAGCACTTGGAGCATTACAGAGTAATGATTTTGGTGCAGAACTATTGTCCAGTAGTCAATATTCCATTTGCTTTAATGATTAAGAATGAAGTTAAAGCTGGCATAAACTGCCCTTGGTGTAGTTGATTGCATGTTGCTTTTCAGAGAAGAAAGCTGTGGATTTCAGCCTGTTTGTTTAGAAAATATTTAAGTCAGCAGAGCTTATGGCACTGAGCTTGTCGGAGGGACCGAGGTACAAATTTCTGAGCGAGCAGCTGGCTGCTGTTTGTTCTGTAGTGCACATTTGTAGAAATAAATAAGGTGACACCAAAAGGTGTAGCCAGTTGCTGCCAAGGCTTTCTCCTCTTAATGGGGAAAATCTAGGAAAACTCTGAATATTGTCCAGATGACTTGTCCAAAGAGTTACACTATCAAGGCAATTTGCCTTTATTAACCCAGGCATACATGTTGCAAAGGATATTAGCCAGGTGGCTTAGCTTTATAGATCCTTCTTGTATGAGAAATTCTATCCTGCATGAACAAGAAACCCTGAAGATAAAGTTGTGAGGGAAAGCTGTGTGCTCTAATGGTGCCATAAAGCCATGGAGTAAAACTGGAAGAGCGAGAGCATAAATTCAGCTGCTGCTCCACTGCAAACAGGTGCTGTGATGAGAAATAACACTGCTGAAGCTTTAAGGTTATCACACCTGAAAAAAGCAGTGTAATTGCTGGGGTGACAAATAGCCATCTAGTGTAAACCAATAGTCCCAAGCAGGGATTTACGTGCAGCAGTCACAGGTAAAATTCCTCACTAAAGAATTATTCATGGCAATGAGCTGATTTAGCAAACTCTTTATCTGGTCAACACAGACTCAGGCTTCATTAGCAGACAATATTGCTTGGGAACGTAGTTATGCTAATGCGGATTTGGAGAGGAATAACACAGAAAGCCATCCGTGTCTATGATGAGAAGCAGGAGATTTGGGCCTGTGCTAAGGAGCGGTGGAGCTGCCCTCACAGGTCCAGGCTCCAATCCTGTTATCTAGTCAACACCTTCCACTCACTGCTAATTGTCATTACAGAGGTTGGCAGCAGTGGTGCCTGCAGCTGGGATTTTAGCAAGAATTAAACGTTCAGAGAACCAGAAATGAACCCTTTCAGCACAGGAATAAACTGGGAAGGAGAGGACAGCTGTTAATGAGCTGTTTAAACCAGCCAAACTTCTTCCTTTAGTGTCTCAAAGGTCATGGTAAATGTGAAATTAATTTAACTGCTTCAGATGCTAGCTCTTCCTTGTCTTCATCTCCTACAAATTCAGCACTGGCCTGGGTGAACTGAGGGGCTCAGCTTTCCCTGTGTGGCATAAAAAATTGCATTTGTGGGGATTCAAAGGACTAATAATCAGTTTGGAATGTGAGCTTAGTTACTGGCAGCATCATCACCGTGTGTAACATTTCAGACTGCTCTTCCTTCGCTCCCTGTGCTGAAACCCATCGTTCAGTGATACAATTTTCTGTGGGATTAATTTGGTCACTTTTATTATTTTGTATTTCTGAAGACAGCACTCAGCTGATTAAATTTTGCCCCACAAACACATTCATCATGTTGTTTTACAATTAAAAGCAATATTTTTTTCTTACTACAATTAAAACTCTTTCGTGTTTCGGTGCCTCTTTTGTTAGTAAGCAATAACGTCTTACAAAATGTAGGAATTCAGATTTCCTAGCCATATTGGCCATCTTTTAAAAATGTGCCTGATCCAGTGGTGGTGCTCCCATGAAGCCCCAGTTTTCATTAAGGACTGGGTATCAGCCTGCAAAACACAAGCCTGTATTTACAAAGAATCCATATGTTGCGCTGTATTGGTTGTGTGGGGTCTCATCTGAGGATTGCTGTGTGATTACAGGTTCTACCGCTTCCATCTGTGATTTACTTTAAAGGTAATATTTACTGAGACAAACCCAGCTCGTCTGAGCATACAGACTTGATGAGAGGTTCATTTGTGCACTTTATAGCTGAGTATGAATCGTGGTATCAATGCATGTAGGACCTGTGCTATATATTTACTGTCTCCAAGGTGAGGTTGATTAGCCATCCCCCCAAAAAGCTATCCTCCTTTTGATGCCGGGCTTGTAACACCGAGATGTGCCATCATAGCATCCCACCAGGACTGTCTTTGTGCTGGCACACAAATAATTTGGGGTATCCTTGGTCTCGGCCTCTCCTCCTCTTGAGGCAACTGAGCAGGGGTTTAGCAGTGAGCTTTATCTCCTACTGTACCTCAACACATGCTCATTTCCCAGTCTCAGACAACCCTTGTTTTGGTGCGAACTGGTGATAGGGTTAAGAGCTAGGCTCTGGAAAGTGACTCCAGAGAATTTGATTAGTTCCTTGACTGGACAATAGACTCAGCTCTAGGCTCCCGACATGTCATTCAAGGTGTAATTCTGTCATCTGTTCATAGGTGTCTCGTGCAGGTCAAGATGCTGTGGTGCGTTTGAGCGCTTCAAACGGGACTGACAGATACGACACAGTGCCGTAGAGCCTTCACCTCCTGGCTTGGGTGCAAGACGTCAGGTGGATACCAACATGCAATTTATCTGTCTACAGTGCAGTCACCCACTTGTGACAAGGACACCTGAGGCTATTTTAAGAACCCACAGCCAGTGGACTCAATGGAATCAGTTGGTTTAGGGCAAGATCCATCTCTTGTATCTCCCAGAGCCTCACATCTGAGCATATAGCACGCCTCAGAATCCTTTGGCTGTATTGACTAGCTTTTCCCTGGCTGTTATGGAGACCAGGCAACTAGCTTAGATGTGTATAACTCCACTTGAAGACAACTAAGGTGAGAACCTACTCGGTCTCCTTATGCCTTTGTTTTCACCAGAAAAGCGTGGATAGTATTCCTTCCTTTCCCCAACACAAACTCCTTACAGAGTTTATGTTCTAAACCCCTCCAGTCAGAGGTTTGTTCTTGCCCCTCTCTGAGGTACCTGTCACGGAAGAGTGGTGGCCTACAGCTACTATGTCTGGACGTTTAGAGGTTAATCACGGGGGGGGGGAGAGATGCTGGCACCATTGGTTAAAATGAAGGAATTTGAATGTCATCGAAATGTCACACCAGGAAATAATCACACTTCTTCTAAAAAAATTTAAACCCTTTTTATTTGTATATTTATTTTTATATATAAAAGAAATACAAAAAAAAAAAGAACACAAACAAAATGGTGATTATGGCAATTCAGTTTTGTCAGCCCCTTCCGCCTGGACTGCTGCCTCAGATCCACCAGGAGTGAGCAAAGTCCTCCGGTTATAATGTCCTTTTATGATTCCAGAGTTGTTGTTCTCATTAAGGATTTGCTTCTGTTTTTGCCTGTTAAGAGACTGTACAAGTCCTAATACAACAGCTGCTAATGAATACTGTCCAGTCAGTTTTCTTGGTTGTAAGATTAAAGGATTTGGTTGAACTCTTCCTAGAAGAAAATATGTTTTGATTTTTCCTTCTTGTTCACTGATACCTTTGACGTAAATCTCTCCTCGGTAGTCGAAGGCAAATCCCCGGTCCTTCAGGATCAGATACGTTTCTTCAGGCACTTGTATTCTGTCACTGACACCTGTGCTGTCCATTCGACTTGCTAAATTTACTGTTTTGCCCCAGATATCGTATTGGGGTTTCTTAGCACCGATAACTCCCGCTACAACAGAGCCATGGCTAATCCCTATTAAACAAAAAATAAAAAAACCACCACCATTAGAAGAGCTATCCAGTTAGACAAGAATGTCTGAAAACCATTGCACTTGCACTTAAGAACCAGATGAAGCCTTGTTCAGATGCACTCGTTGCTAAGCTTAAGGAAGAGAAGTATATACAAAGAAAGTAAGAAAAAAACGCCAGAAAAGCTAGAAAACATAAAAAGTGATATACATGGGGTTATTTCACAGGATGTCCATCTCAGCGGAACCACAGTTATTTTGGTATCATCTGTATTCTGCACACTATTGCCAAAGCTCCTGTAAACTGATTCTTATGTAGTAGGAAAGATCCCTCTGGAAGGATCTTTCTGGGTCTACACTTGTTGAAGGCAACCTTGTTAGTGCTATACAGTCAAGAAATCGCATTCGTATGTTCCATGAAGTGAAAATATTGAAGCATTCTATGAAGTTATTGAAAGACTGTATCTTGTAAGATTGTTGCATAAATTCGAGACAAGCAACAATATAGAAGAGACGATCTTCTTCTACAGCAGTGATTTAAGAATATATTTAGTGATAGTGAAAGGCACATCTTTGGGAAAAGGATTTTAGTTTTTAGATTTTTTTAAAGAATACTTTTTTTTTTTTAATTGGTGATAGAAATTATTTCCAAACACTGTT